TATATATATGATTCGATCCCATGACCATATTTGAGGCCTTAATTCAGGCTTTTAAATATAAATATATTTCTTAAAGCCTTTGTGAGAATTACTCTAGGTGGGCTTAATATAAATATCTCAATCTATTAATTTATGGTGCGCTTGGGACAGTTTGTGCGTTTCAGGATAAGCAGCTTATCCTGAAACACGGCTCGCGGGGGTCGACCCGCGGCCTACATTTAGTGTAAAAATCGAACCGCTTTTTCGGACAAGCAGACAAAATGCACGATCCAAACGGTATCGCGGTGTTTTAAAAAATGCCCCCGCACTTATAAACTGTTTCAAACGGGCCCTTAGTTGATAAAGGTATTTAAAAATTTTGGTAAGTCTTATTATTGAAACTCTTCCGCATCAAAATTGTCCTTTGATAATAAAAAAATTAATAATAATAAATAAATAATAAAGACCAAGTGCAACTATCTCTTACATCATATGGCATTAAGTATATGTTTAGGAGAAATAATAATAAAATAAGCATTGAAGTTTTACATCTATTAACTTCAAAATTATTATAAAATATCTTCATTTATATACAATCTTTTATGTTTATGTTGAATCTTTTTAGGACGTGTATCGTTTGTGGGTTCATATAACTCGGAAGAAATGTGTATAAGAAAGGTTCGGAAGAGAAGGTTGGGTTAGCTCACCCAACCTGAATTCTTAGTTTTCCTCTTGATTGGAGGTTGAGGGTGAAAGAAATGGCCGGAGAGAGTCATATCCCCCATTAGATGAGAGGACATTTATTTATAAGGCACATAAAATATCACCCATGTTGGCCAACATAGAGAAAGAAAATAATATTAAATTATATACTGTGCAGTATAAAGCCAGTCCACAACATCCGATTGGCAATGTTTAGTATGGATATCAATAGCTCATAAATGGTCATGAATGTGTGTTAGGCTGTCAGTCTCTTAAAGTTGATCCTTTAGTTATTTGTCAATTATGAGAGCCATCGATTGAGTGGACATTGTAGACTACTAATAATAGAGTCGCCTCTTGGAAATGTGACGGCCAACACTCTGGCGTTTGGAGAAGAGGTTGGAGAAGTGAAGTTAGTCCATGTTGGTAGAAAAAAATATGTGGGTCATGCCTGTTGAGCGAATGATGGGTTCCATTAAGTAGATCTATGAGATGCATCCTGGGCTGGGAACACCCATCAATTTTGTCATCGGCCAATAATGGCTAACTATTCATATACCCTTAAGTAGATCTATAAGCTAAAGCGCGGGCTAGGAGCACCCATCAATTCTGTTATCAATCCATGATGGCTAACTATTTTTTTATACAATTTAACACAGACACACACACACAGATATATATAAGTTTAAAGCAAAATAATTGTCAACTTGAATAATATGCGCACTTTAGAGAATTTATCAGATCATAAATTTTGCAAAATATTATTTCTCTTTATTACGTGCCACAAAATTCGTGGCGGTAGAATGATTTAATGTTTTAATGTTGTATGATGATCCATCACATATACATATAATTTAAATGTAGTACGAGGGGACACCAATATTTTTTACGTGGAAAAATCTAGAATGAGAAAAAACCACAGGTCTTAGCATAGACAAAGTATTACCATATAAGTGTGCATGTACAATGAACTCACACTATTCTCACATCTAGGAGAGCAGGGTTACAACTTCACAGTAAATACAACGTCTGTATTAAGATCCATCACACCTTTTAAGTAGATCTATGAGCTAAAGCACGGGCTAGGAATGCCCATCAATTTTGTCATCAACCCATGATGGCTAACTATTTTTTATACAATTCAACACAGACACACACACACAGATACAGATAAGTTTAAAGCAAAATAATTGTCAACTTGAATAATATGTGCACTTTAGAGAATTTATCATATTTTAAATTGAGCAAAATATTATTTCTCTTTATTACGTGCCACAAAATTCATGACGGTAGAGTGATTTAATATTTTAATGTTGTATGATGACTCATCACACATGCATATAATTTAAATGTAGTACGAGGGGACACCAATATTTTTTACGTGAAAAAATCTAGAATGGGAAAAAACAACGGATCTTAGCTTAGATAAAGTATTACTGTATAAGTGCTCATTTACAATGAACTCACACTTTTCACACATCTGGGAGAGCAGGGTTACAACTTCACATTAAATACAACGTCTGTTTGTATACAACGTACAAAAAACTTCATTAGTTCGGAGAAAGTCACTCTATTTTGAATACAACGGTAGTAAATAGTTGTCACTGTGAGTTATCACCGTTCACCGGATCTTCAACATGGTGTTATTTGTTACATCGTATTCGAGATATATTGTTACACCGTATTTATGATACTTTGCTGCATCATAAAGTTTGACGACAGTAGCAAGCCTGGGAGGTCGGCGTTTGTTGACGGTGTCCTGCGGCCGGTGTTTGACGGTGTCCTGCGGCCGGTGTTTGACGGTGGTCGACGACTATGGATATTGAGAGTTATTGTCGAGTCTTTATTCCAGAACACCACTGGAAATCAACTCATTCTCATCATTTTTCTTAAGTGAAAAGAGGGGTATATTTATAGCCTGTAGGTGAGGAGAATTTTTGTACTTTGGTGAATAACTTTGGTAACCACTTGAGTGAATGATCCATACTGATCCCCCTTGTTTGTAGTTTTTTTAATGGTTTAAGGGCCTTAATGACCTAAGAATTTAATGATCTTGTGTTCCTCTGATTCCTCTCGTTGAGACGCTCAATTTGACGTATATATATGTCAAATTTAGAGTTCATTTGCCCATTTGATTAACGAACTAAAACCCCTAATTGAGATGCTCAATTTGACATAAGGGCCTTAATGACCTAAGAGTTTAATGGCATATTCTGGGCTTGATTGGACTATGATTGAACTAATTTTGGATTCATTGGGTTTGTCCTATCAAGACAGTCAGTTTGACTACAAAATTGCTAAAATCAGGGCCCTAGATGTTCTTGAGCTTGAATCTAGACTATTTATTATTCAAAAAAAATCTCAAAATTTATACCAAATGATAAAAACTTATTGATGGCAGATCGATTACACCGTATTTTGGACAATATTGCTTGGGTGGTTCAAAAAGAAAATTCTAAAAATTTGTAGTTTGATATATTTTGAGTTATCCTGTGTACTGTAAGAATTTTTGATTAGGTAGTTGTCATGTTGGTGGCAACCAAGTAGCAATGGTTTAAAGATGAAGGTGTTTGTTGAACAATGTTATTTCAGCAGTGGTAGTGACCACAAGGAAGTGATATGCGTCTGGAGGTGCAACCACACATGCACAAGTGCATATGCATGTTTGTACAAGCAAATGAGTACAAATATGTATGTAGAGCTTAGTGGGGTCCATAAGGGAGTATGAATGTGAGCAGATATGCCATGGTGCACACGGGAATGACTGGTGAGCTTGTGGAAACAATCATGCACGTGCAAGCTCACTACTATGCATTATGGGAGTGCTATCGCGGGCAACTAAGCGGGTCCGGTCGGCGAGCGGGTTGTGAAGCGTGGGTGCGGTCGAGTCGGGTCAGATCATGTCCTGGGCAAAAAATGCTTGCTCCCTGCTCCTATCTTGTTGGGAGGAAGCTCTCCTATTCCAGAGGAGATTTGAAGCTTTTTTTCTTCCAAGCGGAATGAAGCTCTCCTTTTTCCAAAAAAGATGGAGTTTTCTCCCCCAAAGCAGCTCCTCCAAGATCTTCCCTTACGCTTTTCTCAAGATTTTATTGGAGGAAGAAGAAGTGAATAAGATGAAGTTGAAGCTTTTTTTTCTCACAACCCTTTTCCCACACTCCTTCTCCCAGCACCTTGATTGAATGCTCGTCAATGTCTCGACTATTCTGCCCAAGGGAGATGATATCCCCCTGTCCAATATCTTCTCCCTTTTCCCAAAGGAGAATGACTCAGGATTCCCCATACCTTTTTAGGATTAAGAACTAGATAAAACTGGGTTATTCAACATTATTAGTAGATTTTTGGGGACCTTTGTGCAAAACAACGCGCTCCAGGCTAATTAGCATGGTCATGCCCATTTTGGGCATGGTCACACCAGTTAAAATGCGTCACGGGCACGGTTTTGGTGCGGCCATGCTCAAGGGCTGGTATAATTAGGCAAGCTCTCTGTTTGGTCGACGTGGTCACACCAACCTCGGATGGTCACACCTCTTTGTAAAGTGTCGAGGCCCCTTCAGGGCTTGGGCGTGATCACGCCTGATTCCGGGTGTGAGCTTGCTAAGGGCTAGGCGTGGCCATTCTAGTTCTAAGTGTGGTCACGCCAGACAGTTAAGCCCTTTTAACCTTCCAACCTCTTATCAAGATGGTTTTATGTCTTTTTCGAGCCAGGGGAAATCCTAAATGACTAAAATATGATTGTCAAACATCATAATGGTTTTCGGGGTCGCTCTATATCGAGGGGTCGATACCGGCAAATGGTAGCCAATTTCAAGCAAGACTGGAACAATACAAACCCCTTAATCCAATGTTAGATGTGCCTGCTAAAGGCCCTACTAACTCTTTGAGCAACGAGATATTACGTCAAAACACAGTGTGATCCCTTATCACTTGGAAGGACCTCCAGTATGCATGGCATTAAAAATGGATACCAACAGTGATAATATAAAGATTTTGGTTGTTATTAGTGATCATCATCATCAAGTGTAAGACAATGCTTAGTAGTTATTCAACTTTGCAGGCTCTTTATAAATTCAAGTCAAGGTCTAAGCCCCTTTCATGTAAAGTATGGATGTCTATCCTAAGTGTTACTTTAGTAATTATAGTTGAAATCAATGAACACTCTATTAGATGACTCAACCTAGTTTTTTTAGATTGTTATTTTATCATTTAAGTGACTTAGTGATCTAAAAATTAAGTGATCATTGACTCATTAGATTCCTCGGATCAAGGCCTCACAAACAAGGGCGTAACCAACCTCTTTTTTTTGTTCGGGAGGGGGGAGGCGCTCCCTAGACTTGACAGAGGAGGGGCTGGGGCAACGAAAGATGAAGTAATATTTCAGAAAGGACAAATTTGATATTTAAGAAGGGACAAAAGACTAAGTTATCATTCTATATAAGTAAAATTATGAGAGACGGGGGGGGCAATTGCTCACAAACCCTAGTTGGGTTCGCCCCTGCTCACTAACCCCTACCACGATCTCTATCGCAAATACAAGAACCTTCACGGCGAAAAAATAAGAAAAAAAAAAGAGAATGAGTATTGAACCTTCACAACAGCCTACTACACCGCCAGTGGATGGGGAGGTTGAAGGGTTAGGTTTCACCATAGAGGAGAGAAGGCTCGGGATCGAGAAGCAAATATGATAACCAAAGGGGAGTTCGAGATTTAGGGCAAAGCGTAATCAACAAGTTAGTCTTCAACTCACTGGCAACTCAACTATAGCAAGTGAGTTGACGTTGACATCAAGACTTTGATTTTTTTTTTTGGTGCTGATTAAAAAAAATCAAAAATACTTTTTTTCTTAAATTTAGGCTTCGTTTGGGGGTCGTTTTTTTACGACTTCACGGCACGGAATCGCAAAAATCAATTGTTTGGCTCCCAGCGTCGCGACAGAATGAAGCTGAAGCGGAAGAAAAGCGGGCCGCGATATCCATCCTGCGGCCCCAGCTTTCGGCTCGTCAAAAGCTTTTTTTACCCTCGGCGCAATCCTCCTCTTGCCTATTCCCGCGCGCGTTCTTCCTTCCCGCATACCAAACCCTCCCGTGCGCGAGCGTTCTTCTTCCTCCTCGACACCCGAAGCCTCCACGAGCGTTCTTCTTCCTCGCCACCAGGACCGCTCGGGCGGCACGTTCTTCTTCCTCGACACCAGGACCGATCGCGCATGTTCTTCTTCCTCGAGCGCAAGCGTTCTTCTTCCTAGACACCAGGACCGAACCGTCCGCACGTGCTCTTCTTCCTCGACACCAGGATGGACGTGCGTTCTTCTTCCTCCACCAGAACCGAACCCTCAGCGAGTTCTTGTCGCGCAGGTCCTTCCTCGAACAGGACCGAATCCAGGGAGCACGAGCAGGTAATCCGATCTTCTTCAAAATTTTTTGAGAATGGTTTTAGAGTTGGGGAGTTGGAACATATGAGCGAGTTGCACAAATTAAAAATGGGAAGGTGCAAGCGAGATGACAGAGTTGAGAGGATGAATTACTGATGAGATAGTATGCCTATGAATGAAGAATTTGAGAATTTATTAGTTGAATATTAATAAAAATATTGTTACACTGATTTTTACATGTATACCACTGAATTTTGGTATTTATTTTTTACATTTACATGTATACCACAAGATAATTTCCATGTTTTTACAAAATTTTGGTATACACTTATTGCATTTGAACTTGGTACTCATAAAGACAAAATTATCTTGTTCATTTTTTGTTTCAACTTGGTACTCATAAAGAATGACCTGTGAGAGTCAAGGGAACACATGAACCTACAGTTGAACTCCCAGATTGGGAGACTAGTTCTCATGATCTCAACCTCAACTTAAATAGATTATAAACACGTGTTGTCTTACGAAATATAAACATGAGTGGAAAGGACACATAGTCCAAATTATACATCATATTGCAGATAAGAAATATCCAATCAATAGTTGCTTTTGTTTTATGAATTCTATTACAAATTGCCCAAGCATTTTCAGTGCATTTTTACATTGACCTCAAGTGTCAATGTAAACTTGTACATTTAAGTATAGGTTGAACGTGGCATTAAGTTGAGGTCATTAGAGCGTTGTGGAAAGGACAATAGCCTGATCCGGATTCGTTAAGGTTGCATTTGTTTAGGGGTTGGATCCCTCTAGAGATGAAAAAAGAAAAGAAAAAAAGATGCTCACATGACATCAAAGAACCGTACTTACATTATTTGATTTCAACTGATGGTGATGAGGGTGGTTAAGATGGTCTAGTGTGGATACTTCTCCAACATGCTTTACCACATTAGATTTTATCAATAGCGTTATATGTCTTCACTTTTTTTCTTCCACATGACTGAGATTTTTAACTATTGCTTTCTTTCATAGCTTTAACACTATTTGAATGTATTTGGATCTATCCACCAGGTTAGCTTAATTACTGCCAGTATTTGGTTACCTTTTCAACCATTTTTAGCATGTTACTTATCAATTTTATCCCAGAGATTTTGAAATTATGTTAGGAGCTTGAAATATCACTATAGTGTGGCTATATATAACTTAAAGTCAATAACTTCTTCATAACTCTTCTATACCATTGTCACATTGGATTATCAAAATTTCTCAATATAAAGATTGTATTATAAGCTTTTCTTCCAATATCTCTCCTTTTTTTGGGCTTAAATATTTAATAAAGATACATCTTGTTGCAGGTGGTTTAGGTGGTATTTTGCAATACATCTTGCTGCAGGTGGTATTTTACAATTTTAATTTCCTTTTTTTGGGCAAAAATTTTGGTATACACTTGCTGCAGGTGGTTTAGGCGAGTTCAGTCTCACACTTATATTTTTTTCTAATTTACAATAAGAATGTGATGATTTTGGAACTTAACTAGAACTAATTATATTGCAGTGGTATGTATGTAAATGCCCCATATATTAATTGAAATGTGCAATCTTTTTGATTTTTCTTTGGGGCAAGACTGATTTGCCATATATTAATTGAAATATGCAATCCTTTTGATTTTTCTTTGGGCCAAGGCTGATTTGTCATATATTAATTGAAATATGCAATCCTTTTGATTTTTCTTTGGGCCAAGGCTGATTTGTCATATATTAATTGAAATATGCAATCCTTTTGATTTTTCTTTGGGGCAAGGCTGATTTGCCAAACTGCTTGGCATTAGATGCCCCATATAAAGTTTTTTAAGTCGTTTGTATTCTATGCTCTATATATGCGAGCTTAAACAGGAGTATTTACCTAAATTGGAGCTGAATTTATTTTGATTATTAGTTCATTAATAACACGTTAAATCCTATATGAAAAATATATTTAATACATTCGTGCTACCGAATATAAGAGCATTCTTATAACATGCCTTTTATTTCATATGTTCACCTATCTAACAAATTAAAATTTTAAAATATATTAATCAATCCCATAAATTTATTACATAACAATTACTAACTAATTACCCAACAATTACATTTATTACATAATTAAAACATTCAAGTTTCACTAATGTATTACATAAAAAATTTTGCTTAAATTTCACTCTTACAGCCTTTTTTTAAACAATTTTACCAAATAAGGGCAGAATTAACATTTTTTCAGAAACAACTGCTCTGCAACTGTTTTCACACAGCTGAACTAAAAAGACAGTTAATTTTCTCATAGTTGTTTTCCCGCAGCTGTTTTCTGGTGCAGCTAAAAAGCTGACAAGCTGCAGCTGCGCCAAACAGACCAGCTTAAAGGATTATGGTGAGAGGAAGTAGGCTACAAAAGTAGTACCAGGGAAACAGCTTGTGGTCGAGGAGAGAACCTATGGCTACTTCCTCCTCTACCCTCCTCTCCACTTTCTCTCCATCCAATCTCTCTTATAACCAGCTCCGCCCTCACCTCCCCCTCTTCCTCCTCCCTCATTGCCACCAAATCCGCCACCGACGTCTCCTCACCCCCATCCAAAACCGCCGTAACGGCGGCGGCGAGCCACCCGACCGTCTAATCTCCGCAGTCTGCTACCTCTACCCCTTCCTCGACGGCGTCCATTTCGGCCGCTTTCTTCTCGCTCAGTTCCCTCCCATTCAGCTCATCATTTTCCCCTTCGCACCTGCAATACGCCTTTTTCGCGCTTCACCTCTCAACCCTATCCTCATCTTCCTCACCCTTTACTTCGCCGTAGTACGCAATCCGTCCTCCTTCAGCCGTTACGTTCGCTTTAACACGATGCAGGCCATTGTTCTCGACGTCCTCCTGATCTTTCCCGACCTAATCGAGCGTTTCTTAGCCCCACGAGACGGCGTCGGCCTCGACATAGTCATGTCGATTGATAGCACCGTCTTCCTCTTCCTTCTGGTCAGTTTGATATACGGTTCCACCACTTGCCTTCTCGGTCAGGTTCCTCGGCTACCGATCGTCGCGGATGCTGCTGATAGGCAGGTAATGTGACCGAACTGCTTCGAATTCTTGATTTTTAGATCTTGGGACTGTTAATGGGTTGCGTAAGGATGGATAAAGCTGTGAATCTGATGATCCATTGGTGAGGAACAATGAAATTTTGCCTTTTCTTGTACCGCTCAATATTTTTTCATGAATATACAAGAACTCCATTATTGGTCTGCTACATTCAACAATTGAAATTGTTTCTTTGCACTGCTGTGATGGTTAGTCTTTCATGTATTTGATTTGCACTGTTGTTTAGAATGCGGATGGAAATTGGAATCTCGAGTGATTTGGCTTCAATTTGTGCTGCTAAGACTTATTTTTCCTATTTTTTAGAGAGTAGAAGAACTTGTTTGTTTTTAAACAATGTATGACAAAAATTACTGCTTTAAGAAGTGTGGTATATGTTGGTTGTTTAAGGGAGCAGTCCATTTTTATAGATTGAAGCTGAACCTAGGGATCTTTTTGGTTTCACATTTAGATTGAACAAGCAAAAAGGTTTTGGAGTTGAAGTCTTAGGGGCATGTCTTACATCAGATTTATGTCCAATTTATGGTAAATCTTATCAAAAAGGTGAAAAAAAAACATTTAAATCTAAGTAGAAAACATAATAAATTCTATTTAATATTTATTGATTAAAATTATCAATATTTAATCAAATAAATTAGACATATGTTTAATTAATCAATTAAATATAGCTTAATAGCCATTATTACTTAATTTAAAAACTTAGTCCTAAGTTAATTAATATTATTTTTATTGTTTGATTTAATTTATCTAAATATAAGTTATTATTTAATTAGCTTAAAAAAGTATTAAGTAATCAATTATTCTATTTGATATTTATCTAAATTAATCATAATTTAATTAAGCTGATTTAATTTGATATAAGAAAATTGAACAATAAGATGTTCCGATCACATTAAGATTTAAATCTCAAAACAATTAGCCAGAAAGTTGGATTTTGCTAGATTTAACAACTATTATTCCAAATAATTTTAAGGATTTAATTCACAAGAATTTGATAAATCCAAATTTAGAGAATTAATTTAATCAGCCTATCAACAGACTTAGCAAACAGTTTAGAGTTAAAAAACAAATTTACAAATTATAGCTACTTTCTTATAATGCTTTCATCGCTGAATAAAGGATGGCACATCAACTTGTTCAAAGGAGCTTGCTTCAAAACTTTTGCTATTGCCTTGATTTAGAGTGTTTGCCTTGATTTAGAGTGTCTGACTTGAATGGCTGGGAGCTTCTAAAAACTAATTTGTTTGTGAGGGAATCAAATGATTTTAGCAAACGAGTTTTTAGCACTTTAAAGGTTCAAACAATGGGTCATATATGCGCTTCTCTACCACTTTCATCTACTTTCCAGCCACAAACGGTTTCCGAAAAGATTTGGTTTGTTAAAACCTGAAAATAACTAACTAGATGATCATATGTACAATTTGTTCAACTTCAATAGAATTTATACTGATTGAATTAATGAATTTTAATCATATGTATAATCCAAAATTTAAGTTTCTATCTTAAGGCTCCTATGGCGATCATAATCATTACTAGAAATTTTTACAATGATTATTTCCCATTTAAGCTTGGTAGGATTGTATATATGATTTCTCAATTGTGTAATCTATAGATCGTATGTGCAATCCTCCAAAAGATTGACGTTATGTGGAAACTATGTTCTATAGGTGCTTACGCAAGTCTATGTGTCTACCAAAACATTCTAAAGTGTTTTAAGAGCAAGAATCATATAAAGCCACGAGGCTAGGTCATTTTGCAAATTTTATGATCTTAAAAAAAAAATTATAAAAGCACAACTATAGTATGTCTCAATAAAAATTCTTTAATTCTGCTCTTGAGTCCTTTATTTTCGTTATCTCTACGTGTTCATTGGATCATTACTTCTACTTTAATTAATTTTTCCATCTTAGTATTGTAACTTATTATTCCTATAATCACGTAATTTAATCATTAATAACTATAACCCTATGTTTGTTATCATCAAATTAAGCTCACATTCATCTGTAGCTTATGAGATTGACAAACTCACTTTTATAATGATGACAAATCTATATCAATTGATTAAGTGAAATGAAGTGAAACTCACCTATTTATTTTAACCAGATAATTGTTTTAATCTAACTATAAAAAATATTTTTGAATTGATTGACCTATTTGCTTCCCTCTGAATCATATGGTTAATCACTTTAGATATATGCATAAATATAAATATGAAATCCAATATTCCCTTTTCCCTCCTTTTGAAAACTTAAAAAGATAAGCTAAATTAAAGAGAATTAACATTTATAATAATTTAAAATATACGAGCAATCATATCATTTATGAGATCCGACATACTTAGTTTTTCACAAAATCTATTTTTTACTAATTATTAAGTAAAAATATTAACAATGAAATTCAGTACTAATAAATTCGATATCAAGATCACATTTAGAAACATGGTCCATAATAAAAAAAAAAATAAAACTCTAATATGAATATGCTTGGTCTTTAATTATTATTGAATTGGATTAATAGTTAAACAACCAGCAGTTTTGTTATCACGCTTAATTGAAATGTATTTAAATTAATTAGAGTATTTTAATTTCTTCTTTACTAGGGCACCTGTCTAACCTAACAACCAACAATAATATATTTAGCCTTTGCAGTTGTTAAAGCTACATAATTTTGTTTTTTTTTTTTTGTGGACCAACTTATAAGCGGTGATCGATCCCAAAAATTAACATATGTCAATATACTTTTTTAATTGAGCTTGTATACAATATAGTTAGTATAAAAATATGCAAATAAATCACAAGCTAATGAATTTTTAGAATATCAAAAACCTAAGAAGTGACATTCGAATATCAAAATATAAGTTTTATCATAATTAGATGAGATTCATTTCAAACTCTTTACTTGTAGTAAATGAGAGCTCCATAAACAAATATATCAGTACTCTTAACTAAATATCATTCATATATATCTAAATAATTTATATATCTTCTTCTAGTTTGTTGATAGAGAGTGATTTTTGCTTGCCTTAATTAGAAAAGTTCTCAATTTAGCATGTCATATTTTAGGACCTTGTGTTAATCCTCACAAAATTTTACTTAATTCAAAAAATATGATCTAGAAAATCAATGCTTAAATTTTGGGATTGCTCGTTGAAGATATCCTGGTTAATAAACCTCTTCAAGAACCCTAATAGTGTAACATCTTTACATGTATAAGCAAGGAGGAGCCTAATGCTTCCAATCTTGTTATGAGTATAATTGATTCTTCAAAACTTATCCCTTCTACACGTCTTGTTCAACTTAATCTTACTTCTATTAGTACATCCTAAGTCATTTAGCCTTTTATTGAAGTACCATTTAGCTCCAATTACATTTGAACTTGGGGTCTAAAGTCTAGTTCCCAAATTTCATTTTTAAATAATTGCTTTAGCTCATCTTGCTTTGCTATAATCTAAAGTTTATCTTTCAGAGTTTCTTCAATATTTATTAGGTTTTTTCTCTGAAAATAAAAATTGAGTGAAGTTCCTTTTCCCTAGTATGTCTTCTAGCTATACTTCTATAGCATGGATCACCTATAATTAAATTTTAGCATGAGTACTTGACATACATTATATTCCTTAGGTAAGGAGTCATTTTCTGTATTACTTACTAAATTCTTTTAGTCTTTCTACAGCTTCGACTACTTCTTCTTCTTCTTCCAAGTCATTTTTAATAGATTCGACTAAGTTTTAATAAAAAATAACATGTTTTCAATTTTTTTATTCTCTTTTAATAACTCTGTAAACTCTAGTAGTATTTATCCAAGAAATATGTCATCATATTATTGCTATAAATTTTTTGTGGCTGCTCTTTCTTATTATTTATAATGTGACATTTACATCTGAAAACGTGCACAAGACTTATCTAATTTTTTTTCCTCGACATTGTTCGTATGATTTGCTCCTGTCATTATTATTTAACTGGATTCAACTAAAAAATGTCAATAATGTTTCTATTGACAGTTCACTTCCAACTCTCGGGAAAAAAAAAATAAATCTGATCGTCATTGTAACTCACGTCCACTGACAATAAACAAATACTAAGCTTGGTATCAACCAAACAACAAAGAAAAGAAATCACGTTTTGTTCTTCTTCTCAGCTAAACAAGTAGATTATTTCAAATCAGTTCTTTTACCATTTGTATATCCATTCCCTTTTCAGGGTCAACTTTTTCAACTCCAGCAAATCAAATAAAGCCCAAATGTAAGGCCTTTATCTACTCAAATTTAATTTGAAGCCTCATACCAGATTCTTCTAGTTGAGAAAAACAACTCTAAACCGAGTGTTTCTTCTATCACTATATGGATTTGGCTGAGAAATCAAGCCTCGTGTTTTGTCAGGGAGACATTAAACATGCATTAGTCAGTTTGGTATTTGTTTTCTGAACAGCAAAATTTGTTTTAAGGTGTTTGCTCTGATAACTATGAGAAAAAAGTTCATAGCTATAAGAAAATTAAAATACAACTTTCTTGGAATGATACTCAGGTAATTTCCGTGCTTATTTCTTCTTTTTTGAACAGCAAAAATATTTTTAAGGTGTTTGCTTTAATAACTATGATCAAAAGGTTCAGTCCCATAAAAAAAATAAAAAATAAAATAAAAAACAACATCTTGGGTGATACTTTGGGCAGAAGCTTTGTATTTTTATCTTATTTTTAGTTAATTAATTTTTTATATATTTTTTAAGCTTAGGATATTATATTATAATCAGATGAAATCTATCATATATCTATTTAAGCCATTCTATCAAGTCATATCAGTGTTATAAAATTTTCTTACGAAAATAATCACAACTTTTATAGCATTTAGGGGTTGTTTGTGAACAATTTTATTTCTTTTATTTCCTTTATTTTCAAAATATATTTGTCAATATATATTTTTTTTAATTTTTTAATTTTTTTAAAACAAATTAACCTATTTTTAAAAGCATTCAAAATAAGTAAATTACTTTTAAAATTAAATTTATTTATTTTCAACATACTAAATATATTTTATTTCAAAGCACATATAAATAAAATAAAAAAGGCACAAATTTGAAAATAAAAAATAAAAGCAATTCCAAAGATCCTCTTAATTAGGTGTGTGCAATATCAGGTTATAATCAAAAATCAAACCAAACCAAATGCTTTGGAATGATTGAATTCGGTTTTTAAATTCTTTTCGGTTATTAGATTAGTTGGTGATTCAAAAATTTTGGTTAAACCGAAAACCGAAAACCGAAGTAGCAATAATATAAATATTAAATTTAATTATTTTTTTTTTCTATTTATTATTTTTGCTTTCTAATTTCTGCTCCACCAGTACTCTCTTTGATTTTAATTGTGTTTTTAAATTTTAGAATTTTAAATATGCTTCTATAATAAAAATTTTAAGACCTATTTGTTATTTTAGTTATATAATTTCGAACACTTATTACTAATGAAGTATGCAATATATATAATTCATTACAATTAATTTTCAATTAAATCAAAATCGAACCGAAAAAATCACACTAAACTATTGTTTAGATTGATTTAGTTGCACGTTTGTTTGGTCTGTTCAGATAAGCTTTTCTGGCTTAAAAAATCAATTGGTTTTGTAAATTTATAGTCTAAACTATCCATAAAAAAGCTGAACGCACACCTCTACTCTTAGTGCACCATTATTTTCTTGCTTCATTTTTTTATTTCTTCGTGTTGCATTTGCTCCTACATCTTTAATTCTTATGAAACATTTTCAGTAGATGAAGCAATGAAGTTAAACTCTTAAACATTGAAGTCCCTTTTAGTGTAATAGTTAGAATTTTATCTTCAAAATTAAGTGTGGTCGTGTTGGAGCACTCCCAGGATGGATGACCTCATTGGAAATTACACCAATGGGGCAAAATCGTGAGACCATTAAACCAAGGTGGACAATATCTCAATAGAAAAGAGTTCGAGTTGTTACGAATGATATCATAGTATTATACTAGCCTGGGGATAGGAACTTTCATATAAAAAAGTACTAAGCCATGAGAGCCACCTCTTAAATCCTAGATGCGATAAATTGCTATATCATGGAAACTACCTCTTGAATTTGTGGGGGCCACATTTTAGATCATATCTACCTAATGAATGATTCTTGATTGGGTGCACTAATGGGAATGTCAGTTGCTTAAAATTGTGAAACTGCTCAAGTAAAATGAAGCTAAACTCTTAAAACATCGAGGCGCATTTTGGTATAATGGTCGAAGTTTCATCAGAAACTCCTATGTTAAGTGTGCTCGTGCTGAAGTAGTCTAAGAATAGGTGACCTCTTGGGAAGTTACACCAATGGACAAAACCATGAGGTCATTAGGCTAAAGCAGACAATATATTAATGGATAAGAGTTCAGGATGTTACATTTCCCCTCTTATATTGTTGGATTCCACTTATTTATCTTCATAAGCAACATCCCTGTAGAGCATTGAATTAATATTTCTTATAATCCAATGATCTGTATATTTTTTGCCTTCCCAGAAGCAGTAGCCGCAAACCAGCCATCATCATTTCACATCAAGAAAAACTTCTTATACTTGGAATCCAGCTTACCTCTGTCGTCGAATTTACATTGCTTATTTGAAACCGAACCGAATCCTTTCAGATTTAATAGATTTATCTCCTTACCCATGCTAACTTTTTCTGCTAACTTGTAATGTCTCATTTTACTTGAATTTTTTATTGCCGTTATCACCATCATTATCAGATCTCTTGTACTCTAATTGAATACTAGATTTGATTGTAAAAAATCAGATTTTATTCATCAGACTTAAACTTTCTTGATTGTGAAGTAGTTTGGAGCATGAAGTAATACATATTTACCTTAACAATATAGTCAAATTTAAGGTTTATTGGTATAAAATACAACTTTCTTACAGCCATAACATTTTAGCAAATCTGGCTGTAAAAAACTGTTTCTCACCACATTATTTTCTGAAAGGCCTCAGGAAAGTTGTAGCCAAAGAATTGTGACAGCTTTTAGGCCACACAAGTCTTATTATGTATTTACAGATCTAACATCTAAATTTTAATTTTTATATTTACATCTCTTTACTTGAAGATGTGTATTTTCACTTTTTAAAAGTTAGTAATGATATTTTTGATGCAAGATTAATGAATTGGAAGATTTACATGTATACCACTCAATTCCTCTGAATTTACATATCTAGCACCTAACTTCAATTTTCACTTGCACACCACCTCATCTATACATGAAAAGGTGTATTTCACTTCTTAAAAGTTAAGATGGTGATATTTTTGATGTGACACACAAGATTTGGGTTGTATAAATGTAAAAAAACAATATTTGGGTGTTAGATATATAAATCCATAAGAATTGTATGGTGTGTGTATGTAAATGCCCCAAAAGAATCAAGTGTCACAAGTGTAAATTTGAAGTTTTGGTGTTAGATATGTTTGTAAATTTTCCAATGGTATAAACATTGCCATAATAGACCCTTAATCTCTATAAAATTATTTGGGTAATATTGAAGTTTTTATCTTTGATAGGATGTGAAATAGAAGCATTTCATGCATCTTTAAGTTGAACATATGTTCCATCAGGTGTACTTGACACAGGATTTCTTGGTTCTAATATTCTCTCTGACATTCCCTGCAATTATCAATTGAATGGCTTCCAAGGCTTTTTATATCTGTAATTATCAATTATCTATAATTTTTATCTGTCCACTGATTTTCAATAATCTTGAGCTACATCCTAATTTAGATTTGGAAGATTTACAATTTTACATGCATATCACCAAATTCTCATGTATTTACATATCCCACTCCTATAGTTCAATTTTTACATATCACCTCAAATATGCATGAAAGGTGTAGTTCACTTTTTAAAAGTTAAAATAATGGTAATTTTATGTGGAGGGAAAGATTTGGATGGTATGAATGCAAAAAAGCAAAGTTTTGGTGTTGGATATGTAAATACATAAGAATTGAGTCGTATGGATGTAAATGACCCTTTAGATTTATGTGATGTTTTTGCACTATAGTCGGTACAACAACAACAACAAGCTTTTATCCAAGTAAGTGTGGTCGGCTACATGAATTCTTTTTTTTTTTTTTTTTTTCATTCTTCTATTGAGTCATATTTTCCTTTAATTATAGTAAGTTAAGATAATTTTTTATACAATATGTCCCAAGTCTTTTTAGGTCTATCTATGTCTTTCTAAACATAAGTCGAATTTATAACAACTACTCTCCTTATTCGGTCATCAGATAATTGGCATTTAATGTGACCAAACCATCTTAGACGACTCTCCCTAATCTTGTCTGCCACTGGAGCCACACCAACCCTTTCACAGATAAATTTGTCTCTCATTTTGGTCAGAGGAAAAATATTCGTAGGATCAAATGTCTATGAAGGGGAGAAGTTGATGAATGTATGTTTATTACTAGGATAAATACAGTATTCATATGTTGGGGCATTTACATACGTACCACACAATTCTTATGTATTTACATATCTTGTACTTAATTTTTATATTTACATGCATACCACTCGACATCTTTTGTACTACGTCAAGAGTTAAAAGTGAAATACATCTTTTCGTATACAGGTTTATAAAATCATAGTATTATAAATATAAATATCAAATTTTAAGCTTTAGATATGTATATATACATAAACATTGTGTGGTATTTTGTGAATTTTCCGTATATATTTATGTACGTTTATGTTAATTTAATCTTAATTATTAAAAAATTATTAATTCTTGCTTCTGCAAAATGGGAGCTAAAGCACTGGATTTATATACATGCAATTCTTATGTATTTATATATCTCATCCCCCTAAACTTTCCTATTTACACAAATAGTGCTCAAATTCTTAATATCACATTATTATCATTTTTTCGAAGTTAACTATTTCTTTTTCATGCATAGATTTAAAGCACCGAAGTGATATTTATGTAAATATTAAAATTTAAGTGTGAGATATGTAAATTCATAAAAATGGTGTGCTAGGTATAAAACAATTATGCTTTTTAGAGAATCATCATGTATAAATATTTAGGTTATAATTTTATGCTTTTCAGAAATTTATGACGAGAAGCGTTTTTGTTCTGGGTTAATTCTCAAATTCAGGGAAAAAAATTGCGTATTAAGATGTACGCAGCGCTGCGTACATTTTGGAGGTTATACAGAGGGTATAAGGGAGTTATATTCGCGTTATATTCGCATTATATCCCCTTGTAACTTCCATATAACCTTTTGTAACCTACCTGTAATCTATAAATAATTTTTGCGTTTTTGTTTTCATATATTAAGAATTTATTTGTAGGTTACATAAGGTTACAAAGGGGTATAACGCAGATATAACTCCCTTATACCCCTTATATAACCTCCAAAATGTACGCAACACTGCGTACGTCTTACGTACATAAACTTTTTCCCAAATTCAGGATGTGTTCTGTTCCGCTTTGTATTAATTTTTATCATTAAATATTTTTAAAATAAATATGTAATAAAATGAATAATTTAACTTTTAAATTACCTTTCAAATTTGGGAATTATGGTTAAACTTCACGGGCTTCTCAGCTAAACTAATTTAAAACCTAAAAATGCAATAGAAAATAGAACCGAACACCAAAAACAAATCTTTTATCCTACCAAGTTGGGTCAGTTCATATTTCTCCATCATATTTCTGCATTGCATAATAATGTGTTATATTACTTTAAACTCTAATAAATTAAAATCATTTTCTATCAAACATGCCTAAGACTTTTTAGATTTACCTCTAATTTTTTAATATAAATTAAATCTAAAACATCTGATCTCTTAACTGAATCATCAAATTGTCGAACGTTTAATATGATCAAATTATCTTAGCGTACATCATGGCTACAAAATTAGGATATAAAAAAAGATGGGAATTTACAAGTAGATGTCGGTGGATTTCAAAAAAAAAAAATACTGAGCATAACTAAATATATTGTCCAAAATTAGAAAAATAAGATATGAAGGCATTTACATGTAGGGGTGTAAACAAACCGAACACAAACGAACAGAACTTGTGTTTATATTCGGTTTGTTTGAAATTTAATTTTTTTTGAAATAAGCTCATATTTAAAATTATTCATAAAGTCACTGTTCGTATTTATTTCTTAACGAACGAACCGAACACGAGCTCTTCCCAAACAACGAGCCAGTTTGACATCCCTAATAATTAATATATATATATATATATATATATAATATTATATTAATTATATAACTTATATTATATAAATATATAATATCTATTTTAGCATATTACTAATATAATATATTAATACATTATTATTATTATTTTATTATATATTATAATTTATAAAATTTAATTTTTTCAAATTATCATAAATTTTATATATATAATTATTTTAAATTATTTTATATTTCGAACAATAACGATTCGAACATAAAAAAACGCATCACTGTTCTAATTTGGTTCGCTTAACCGAACGAAAAAAAATTTATTCATGTTCGTCTCGTTTACTGATCGAACGCGAACTCATTGACGAACCGAACACGAACTGTTCACGAACAACCAGCTTTTTCGACAGCCTATTTACATACATACTACAATGCTATGTATTCAAATATCTAATACCTTGAACTTTATATTTACATTCACAACACACAAATCTTAATACTAAATCAAAAATGTCACCTTTTGACAACCCACCTTTTCATTCATAAATTTATGACCAAAAGAAAAATGCTATAAATATTAGGTTTTAGATGATAAGAAGTAAATTTCTATAAATAAAAAGAGATACCAAATAAATGCTAACCATTCTCAAATCAGCATGCAATGCACCTTTTTCATTACAATAATGGTAAATTTCTTGAGTGCAGCCTTAAATGTGAACATGACCATCATCACCTTTTACATAGCCGACATCTAGACTTCACTTCTTGCATTTATACCTCCAAAAGCTTTCATATCACATTTTAAATACAGTTATTCTAACAATAATGATAAAAAATCAAACAACAAGAGGCTTGTTAACAGTAGAACCGATCAGCAGCCACAGACATGATAAGCACAGAAAAAGATAAACCAATTTAGCCTCCAAACAAACTATATTCCATCAGTAGCAATTATTTCAAGACCAAACACAAAAAAAAAAAAAAAAAAAAAAAAAAAACCACAACAAATGATTATCAGGCGCTGTAAATACAGTGGAGAAAACATTAAAAGTACATTAGAAAACTCTAATACACTAAACTAAGACAAAGGATGGGAGAAATTCTCACATGGATAGAATCCCAAAGGAAAATCAGAGTTGATTCTGCAAAATTAACCAAAAAAGGGCCATCTCATGATTTCTACGACTTTCGTCTTTCGGATTCATCGACGGCCCCTGCTCGATACTCTTTACAGTACTATTGCAAAGTTACCAAATGAAAGGTCATTCATGATCCTGAAATACAAATTAAAAAGTCCATTTAAAGTGGATTAACTGTGAATAGAGTTGAATAGTTTTGAATGCTTATAAGGTTTATTAAACATGAATTTATAACATGGAGAAATATAGTAAAAGTAGAATGCAGTGCTCAATACTGCCCTTAATGATTAGGGAAGGAACGGATGATGAAATAGAGAAGAGGACAGATAATGGAGTGTGAAAGAGGTGTGATAGGAGAGGAAGTGAGAGAAAAAAGTTTCAGAATCAAAGAAAGACCAAGACATTTGTCTAAAAACCCAATGTATTCACTCTTTATGAGCGGCAAATTGATACATGTAATAGTTGATCATGTTGAGTCCAAACTTGGGTCGGGCAAAATGTTGTCAGGTGAATTGGATTATATTTATGGGGCGAGTATTCAGCCAGTTCAGTCAGTTCGATTTAAGAATCAGCCAACATTATCAAAGGCAAATCGACCGCCAAGAAACTTGGGAAAGATAATGATACCAGAAGATACCTAAACAACAATAAAAAATCAATTATTATTATTGAAAGCAAATAAAAAGTTACACTCAATACAGTAAAATGGAAAATAATAACAAACAAAACACCCACTCAACTAGGATTATATTCCAATGAAGTTGGTGGTTGGAGAGGTGTGTTGGAAGGGGTGGTTGAAGCAGGTGATGGGGTGGCTAGGGTTAGTTGGCAGTAGGGTGGAAGGTTACTGTGAGGGGTGGCGGCGGTGGTCGGTCGGTCGGTCGGTCGGTCGGTCGGTCGGTCGGTGGGGG